GGAGGAGTTGGCCCAGAAGAAAATGGTAAGGGGGAGGGTTCACAGAGAGCAGGAAATTGGAGAAATTGTAGCTTTTATTAGCCTCTTGCCTCTCCAATAGGAAGTTCATTTGGTTGAAGAAGGATGAAATAGCCTCCTACACAAATATTCAGATTGTATTACATAATTTTAGACAGTTTGTCAATGTGTTGAATACGAAGTAATGCAGAGAGTCTTTGAACAGATGTCAATGGGAAGAAGCCACAGCCGTACCCCTGGAGAGAATCTTTCTTTTCCCCTTTTCTCTTTAATGGTACTAGAGATGGAACTCAGGGCTGATGTACTACTGAGCTACCTCCCCAGCCCTTTTCATTTTTTATTTTTGAGATAGGGCCTTAATAAGTTGCTGAGGCTGGCCTCAAACTTGTGATCCTCCTGCCTCAGCCTCCAAGTTGCTGGAATTCTAAGCATGCACCATGGCACCAGACACTGGAGGAAGTCTTAAAGGAAATTGAAGAAAGACTTTATTCTATACCATACTTGAAAAATAATTAGGTCATATAGGTATTTTACACTTCTACTCATCCTCTCTCAGTACAGAAAGAAACCCCTCTGTATGTAGTAGTCTCATGATCAAAATTTGTAAAATGATTTCTCCCCAATCTTATCAAAAAAGGAGGAGGACAATGAGAAAATGTCTATACGTATCTTAATTCTCTTTAGCCAAAGACAACCAGGAGCATACCTGTGGTCTCACAAGTTGGGCTTATCACTGTCTGCAGTGAGAAATCTGTATGTTATTGGACACCATGGGAAAAGGGCTTTAGAACTGTTGTAGGATTTAGGCCTGGGTTTGGTCATTTTAGGACTAGTCTGAGAAAGCAGGGCGAGGAGCAAGGTGACTGTGTGGTGGAATGTCTGTGCATGTCTGTCAGTAGTGTAGGCAGACTGGATTGATCTAATTGATCAAGAAGTGGCAGTCACTCAGTGTGAAGAGGGTCCTGTGGGTTGCAGGGGGACCTTGTTTTTGAGTTGCTTGTCTTTGTCTCAGAGTGACTTCATTTGAATGCAGATCTGTGAGATTAGGCCCAACAGAACAAAATGGCCTGTGTCATACCAGTTTGTAGTAACAGTGATGTCCAGCTGTGAAAGTCAGGTCAGTTCCTGAAGTCAAGAGCAGCTTCATATCTCTCTCTTTCTCTCTCTCTCTCTCTCTCTCTCAACTTACAT